AGCTCAGCTTCAGCTTCTTGACAGGCTAATGGTCCGTTAACTTGCTCATTTACCTGGTCAAACTGCCTACACAGTTGATAGTTGTAACTTCCATAGGACACTAGAATGAAATTAACCACGACCTGCGAGCCATCAGTGAGGCCCATTGTTCACAGAACCTTGCGGAGGTAAAGCATTTAGTGTGTACATTTTCGTACAATCGACGTTACTTGCAGAACCTCACGGATAGTGCTGGGCCAAGGGAAGACGTTTATTCGTTCGGTTCCAAGCTCAAGAAGCGGCTTTTGACACTATAAACGCCGCACTATTTCCGCACCAGCCAGCCGACTTTCGATGGAACATATCTCGCGATTATCTCCACTGACACAAACCTTGGATGGGTGCCATACTGCCGCACATCCCAAAAGGATGTGAGAGAGTTATCGCCTACGCCTCCAGAAACGCGTTTGCAGCAAAGATTTCTGAGTTTGAAAAGTAAAATGAGGCCCACGCTTGCTTTTGAACCTGTGAGAAATGGCATCTATTCTTGTTTGGAAAGCGCGCCAACGTTCAGACAAACCAAATCGCTTTAACTAATTTCCCTAATAGGGGAACAAATGGCATCGAACCGCTTCGAATCAATTCCTGGTACGGAAGCTTACTAACACCTGATTTCCTAATGCAGTTTCGTCCAAAGCATGAAAATCAGGCAGCAGAGGGTCTCTCTCGACTCCCGCTGGATGAAGCGGAAAGTATTAAGGATGTCAATGACAGGCTACTGGCGTCTTACTTAAATTCGAGGAATGCTCAACTTTGACTAAGAAAGAACTACAATATGCTATTAATGCTGATGTCACACACTGTGGCATCGTGAAGTTTTTCTAAACGGTTGTAAACATGATAAAAAGTAGTAGATGAACTTTGTTAATACTTCGTTTTGTGCCACAAACTGTCATTCTCAGGTGGATGACTAATGCGTGGTTGCAAATTCGTTGTCCCTCGGAGCTTTGTGTAAGCATATCATGTTGTGTGCCCATGAGAGCAACCCTAGCATTGTTTCTATAAAACTTAAGTGGATACACTTTCTGGTGGTTAGAATGTCTGACAAATCGAGCAACTGATTCGTTAATGGTCTTCAAGCCAAAAATAGACAGGAACTCCAGGCCCGTAGTTTTACTATACATCCCACTGACTATCTTATGAGACTGTGGGTAAAGATAGTTATTAATGTCATTGGCCGGTTCAACACAACGCTACAGCATTAAAAGAACTGTTTGTTTGCGGCGGTTTTTAAAGTAAATTAGCGGAACATCACTTGTGCGGAGAAGTGACTACTGCGAACTTTATCAGATGACTGCAGCTCATGTTTTCTCATTTCGGATTACCCGTAGACGTAGTAAGGACAACGGTTTGGAGTTCACAAGAGATGAGTTACATGATTTTTTACAAGTTCAAGCCATAATGCACCCAAGTTTTACGACGTATAATCCGGCGGAGAACAGCATGACAGCTAACATTAATCATTCGTTGACCGATAACATTTAAACCATTCATCTGCCTGGTATTCCCTAGAAGGCTGCAAATGTACGGACATTATTTCCCTACAGAACCGCAAGTCACCGAGTAACAGACAAAACACCGGCAGAATTTTTGCTTGGACGTTCTCTAAGGACAAACTTAAATGTCGCACTTCCTAATTATCTAAATAACAACACCGACCAGCTAGAACATCGCCAAATGTGCCAAGCCGCCTATCGGAAGTCTACTACTGCGCTCCAAATGGAGGAACCTCACACGAGAACGAAGACAGCGTCAAAAGGGCAGCTCATGTTGTCGGAATCAATAAGGATACCAAGCGTCTTGTAGTTATCAGCTGGTAGTTGGTCGTACGGTCAACGCGAGGACGCTACATACAAGCAGCAAACAACAGCATCCTGTTCTATCACTCTGCTTGACGAAACAAGGAATATCACGACGCTACTCTGGTCATACGCCAAATCAAGAGCACCCAGTCGTTATGGATTTGATGGCTCTCAAAAGCTAGGGAAGAGGCGATGTGTGTTCAGCTCACTTTCAGACACGCCGTGCTGCGTGCACGCGTTACAGACCTACTCACATGCATACACTTATACTACCGGGTCTTCTCCATTGTTCATATCCATATGTGTCAGCTTTGTATATATATATATATATATATATATATATATATATATATATTTACCGTACGCCTGTTCTTTACCTGCGTAAACAACAAATGATATGCATTCCAACTATTCAGAACAGTAGTTGATTTTCTTATACCGGACCTACGCTAATGGTTGGTATACCTCTCGGACAGATACTAAGGGAACGCAGTTATAATTGTTTCGTCAGCTGCAGCGAGCCTCGCAAATATGGGATCACGCTTGAAACCCTTATTTCGCAACTATCTTTGTTTCATTAGAATGCGTTACCGGAACATCTACCAAATCGCACTGATTAGATGCAACGAAACTGCCTGAGTAGTTCGCGTCCAAACTGTTAGTAATCTAGACTTCATTGTATATCTTCAAATAAAATGGCGTTAATAATGCCAGTAGTCACTTTCGGAAGCTGTCACTTTAAGCAGCTGTTTTATCAGTTTTCTCAGCGGCTTCGGGAAGTTAAGATATATATTTCATCTGCAGCAGCATTCACCAGACTCTGTAACAGGCATGTTTGCACGTGATAGCCTAAAATTGTTTGCAGGCATAAGACTGTTATTAAAACTACTGCGCTTTTGATATTAAAATTTAAACGCACATACCTTGGCTCAAACACAACAATTTCAATACAAATGAAAGCACTTGAATTGGCACACTTTCGCTAACATCCTACAAGTTTGTTGTGTAAGATGAATGTAGTGCCAGAGTTAAGATAGCGATTTGATCGTTGAATACAGTTTCAGTATTTCTATGGGTTTTATTACATTCCCTTCGGAGAAAATAATTCGTGTACTTGGAAAAGTGCTAATCGGTGGGACAGCGTTCAAGGTAGCGTGGTGTGTGGGGCACAGTTTGTAGTTCAGCTCGTTCAGCTTCTGGAGGTTTGGTTGTGAAACGTACGTTCTAGCGTTAACGGGACGAAAATTACCTCTCTCTCTCTGTCGACCATTGCTGTGCCTATAGGATCAATTTGTCGCCGTAATTCGATAGGTTTTTGACAAACATCTTCGCTGAAATAGTTCATCTGTATTCAGCAATCGGTGACGGAATCAAGCGGCTTCAAAACACCAAGCAGTCGCCTTAAACTGTTTTAGATTGCAGTTTTGGCTTTAAGAAGTGTTGTGGACCCTGATCGAGGTACAACCATCAATCAAAGGGTCGCAGATTTTTGAAAAGGATCTACTTCTCCTTGTATGTCACCCTTAGTTTGACAAACGGGCAGTTTCTAATGCACAAAACTAATGTGAATTGCATTTCAAAAGAACGATCGCTTTGCCTTCATACCCTTCATCCGGCACCAATTTATCAAGCTTTTCTATTTACCATCCGTAAATGTTTGTACACCATTATATGCTACGCTGCGTAGTCAGTTGCAATAGCTAGAAGAGCAATGCGCAGATTCGTTTCTCCAAAGGTGTTTATTTGATTGTTGCCCGTTCCTAATAGCATTCTACAGTGCTCTTCATCTTAAAGACCCCCGACATGGTTTTATTATTTTTGAAACCGCCAACGTGCAGTGTATGTATCAGTGAATGTAGAATCAAATGCACTGTAAATGTCGCGAGCTGTTTCGTTTAAGGTTCAATGGATTTTAACGTGAAACAAGAAATGTGTGAGAAGTTGACATTTTCTACTTTGTATTAAAAGTTGTACAAAGGTGTCAAAACTTATAGCTAATTGATCCAGACTTCCTAGATTGACTTATCACAAATTTAATTGTAACAACTGATAAAAGAAAAATAATGCAAACATTAATGTCCTCTTAACAACTGCATCCATTTTGTAAAATACCTTTGGCGTGGCAGATGGCTGCACATGGCGGTTTCAAGTTTAGCTTACGTTACATTCACAAGTGATCTCTTCGTAGATGTGAATCAGGATTCAAAGCGCTTTCAATAAATTCGTTATAATGATTGTCAGCGGGACAAAAGCCGTTAACCATTCTTGTGCTCCCCTTTGGCTACCCAACGGTTAAACTTCACCCAAGCTTTGAAAGAAACCAACACCCAAGCGGTGTGCAGTCTTTCCCTTATACTTCACTTGGAGCGTATGCATGGTTGCAAAGTTTTTTTGACAAGAAGAATTCCGGAAGTTTAAGTCAACTGCAATACAGACTGCATAAGACCGAGATGTCCAAAGTTCGGTCCGCGGGCCAAATGCGGCCCGCGTTAACATTGAAAATGGCCCGCGGCGTCCTCATGAAATAATAAATTCATGCTTGAACTTTTTCCTACATGTGTAATTGTTGTTATAATCTTAATGTCCGACTGAATGTCGCTCGACATATTTTTACATCACAAAATGTGGCCTACTTTGTGAAAAGTTTGGACACCTCTTACATAAACCAAACTGTCTGATAGAATAGAACAAATAGGTGAAGTGCACTAGTGGTGCTCCCACACAAAAGTAGTTCACTTTTACTGCAGTTTAGATTAAACGGTCTGATAAAAAATAAAATTATGGAAACCTCTTGTAAAAGGCTTGGGAATTACTAAAAGTAGAAGCCAACTACATTGGTTGACTCAGAAAACCTGGTCTTTGTGAAATACTGTATGAGAACTATTATACGAGATTTTTCATCTTCCCAAACATTAGCCTCTCTGTTTCTGATTTTATGCTAAGGTACAAGCCATCGCACCACGCATACACACAGCCCGTAGAATTTAACGCTAATGTCAATGTAACGCGACAAATGACCACAAACTTTTGACCTTTCTCAGATTTTCTAAGTAATTAGGGACCATGAATTTAGTATGAATGGAATTTACTAGCTGCCTCCGTTCGAACTTTGCCCAAATGTCGCGGAATGTGTGCATATAAGAACGCGTCCAGTATACTATGACGCCATCGTTCACATACCACATAATAGCTGTGTACCCATTGGCTACCTGCAATCCTCCCGGCTGTCGGTGCGCTGAAGCAGTCAAAAATCAATCGCACGCATGTTAGTGGACTGGCATCCTGGAACGCAAACATTGCAGTTTACACGTGTGATCCGTTGCACATCTCAGGCGGTACTCTATCAAGTGATAACCGTCACGCACTTATTAGTTAGGGTGTGACGCAGCAGATATCAAAGACGACATTACTGTGAAATACTGAAAGATCGGTTGTCGACAAGCTGTCCTAAACCTGGAATTCTAAGGAGATATCTGTGTGACAAATCTAAGTACATCATAGCTCCTTAATACAGGTATCCAAAACAACTGTGAGGAGGCTGTCATACGGTGAGTATAATGGATATATGCTGATGCTTTGGGTAGCAATTTGGTAGAATTGTGATTTGTGTGAATGCGCAACTGTTTAATTAACTTGCCTCTTTATTTTTTTCCTGATTTTGTTTATCTCCGGTGAGCTAGAAATACGGCGGCGATAATCGTTTTCATGTATACTTTGCAGAAATGGCCTCTATTGTATTGCCTTGAGGACCTTCCGCTTCTCGAATAAAGTAGCGGAGAAAGTCATGTACAAGTTGCGTCTGCTGCTTTTATATCCAGAGATGAAACAAACTCCCCGGGGTTTCTTCTTACTTGCCTTAGATTGGGTCAATATTTCCTAAGCTTTATCTTGTGACTGTCCGATTGAAGAGCTGCAATTAGTTCTGGATGTAATCAAGCTGTTCATGTACCTAAACGAGTGCTTGGAGTGCGGTTATGCCAAGTGAAATTAAGCCGAAATCATTGCATCAGGGCATCACCTAAATAAGAAAATAACTTGTTACCTGATTAGAGGGCCAATTTTGGACTACACATTGTGTGATTGGATTGTGAATGGCAATCTCAATGTAGACCGCGATTCACACTGAAGTGAACCTTGGTCCCTGCGATTACCGGGATCGTAGCGGAAGTAGATGAAAATTCACCGTTGTGCCAATTGTTGTCCGCTGTGACCAGCTAGCCAGAGGGATAGAGGTTTCGGTTACTATACCAACGGTAGAGGGTACGAGGCATGTTATATCCCCCTGACGAGATGAAATAACATGGGAACGCGTCGTGGTGATGTAGTGTTTTCTAGTGGGCAACACCCAATTTCTATCCAGTTGGTACCTGCTTTTCGGGTCTTGGAGCACTCACTGTGTGACTTGTATTGCGACACACAATCTCAGTTGTGGTCTCCTTTGACTTTAAACTCAATCCCCGTCAATCCGATCTCTGGGACTGTCAGGGAATTGGAGGATTTCCGTGTGGATCTCCCCCATCTCTACACAGGACGAAACTGTCGGTTGTAAAGTACAGAGGTGGGAGATTGTCACACCGAAACCATCTAATTGGTACCTTATTACTTAAATAATTAAAACTGGTTTCTAATTCTATTACAATAAGCAGATCGAGAAAAATAGTATGATTAGCTGTACACTCCATTTCAATCTTTAAATCAGGATGTCACAAGAACTCCTTTTGAGACGAAGTACCTTACAGCACGTCGTCGAATTTTTTATTCAAAAGCAGTCGAGATTTAGGAAGCGTATTGTCTGCAAGCTAGTTAGTACACGTTATTTCTATGCAGGACTCTGAAAAATGTTTTCAGTATTCGGTTAAGGACTAAAATAGACACATTTATGGACTAGAGATGTTGGCAAAACTGGAGGGGATGAATAGTTTCTTAGAGAAGCTTGCTTTGACTGAACCAACTTACAACTGTCTGACATTAAGTACTAGTACCTATGTGAGCTGCTCAACTTGAGAAATGTAGCAATGTACAAGACGTGCTGATTTTTGAAGAATATACTAATTAAACTTTCTTGAAATTGTGATGCTGACTTCCGGACAAATTGTCTGGTGCAACGTAGAATATTTGAAGTTGATATTTCGGCCAGTAAGCTGCCAGAAATTTGTTCGGTCGAGGAAAAAGTAATATGATTTTACTATCCTGGAATCTATTTGGAGTCACCACAGAATCCATAAGTTTGATGGTATAAAATACAAACCGGTTGGCATTTTAAATCTTTAGAGAGACATAGTTATAATTATTATAGGAAGGAACAATTCATATACTCTCAGTTTTGCAAGCCCTGGTAAAGCGGAGAAAGAAGAATCTCGCTTCGTGGAGACATATGCTGATACTGTTTACTTTATTTTCTTCTTAACAGAGAGAAAATGATTGACTTAAGTTAGAGATTCCGAAGGAGAAGTGGTTTTAAATCCACATTATCTGCGGTTTTCTTTACTGAACTTGTAACTGACAAAAGCACCCATAATCACATAAGCAGAGGGCATAGTATCAACTCTTGCTACCACATACGAGGCACTCGCCCGTGGGCATAAAATGAATAAAATAAATATGTCTAGGACGAAACCACTTTATTTCTTGTTTACTTAAATTAAGTAGTAAAATATACACGCGATGAACAACTCGGTAAGCACACCACAAATGTTAACCGGAAAGCAATCAGTAGCTGGTTTGCAGAATTTGTTGAACTTGCATGACGTAAGTAAAGATTATAGAGAAAGAATACAAAAGCGCCTATGAAGATGGCAGTACTTGCACGCGATGCTGAACTACCGTTACCTTTCTACTTAGCTATAAATTAAATTGAAGCAAATAAACTAGTGGAGAAATAACCAGACTATGTGGCTTGCCTGCTGATATTTAAAAAGCAGATGTTTAGTTTTTCAACGGATCACGGGCAATACTGTCTTACAGCAAAGCAAATATCCTCATTTCCTTGACATGAACCAGGGCCAGAAATCAGTTCAGGGTTAAGAATTCTTTTCGGTAATCTCTCCTCAGACTCAAACGTTTACAGGATGCTTGATTGTGGGGTGAAAGTGTCAAATCGGGCTGGGATTAATTTCTAAGGTCTTTGCAGGGTCAAAATTGATAACTTGAGGCGGCTACAGATGGTAAGCAAAATACACTGTAGGAACCTTAATACACAAACCTCTGCAGTCTAAATTAAATAGGTAACTTCACAAAGGGTAACTAAGTGATCATGTCGGTTGGCGTTAAACGGTCGGAGCTAGGGAGATTCTTTTTGCAAAGGTATTCAGCGGTGATAGACTTGTCTAAATATTTGAAACAGCCTTTTGAGGAATATGTGAAATTTCTAAAGCTAAAAATGGGAGTAAGAAAGCGAAGGAAATAGATTATTACGTTTACCAATCAAATTCCCCAATTGACCTTTTCCAGTGTAGTACTAAGTTCAATGCAGCTTGAACTGTTATCATTAAGCCCCAAGTTTTTTTAATTCTATGTGAGCAAATAGATTAGATAGCTTTAGAGGTGTAGTTTACAACCTAATGTTACAGACCAGATACCTGTTTCCAACATCTAATGAGGTTAAGAAGCTAAATCCTAGTCTACTGAATAGCTTTCATGAATATGTTATGGCTGAACTATCTAATAATGGTATTATTTCAAGAAAAGAAATTAATTCACTTAAGAATGTACGGTTAAACAACGAATCATTAGCTATAGACTAGACAAGGGATCGGGCATAGTGTTAAAATATAGGGTCGATTATGTCTGTGAAATGCAGCAGATCTTCAGTTACGAAGGTAAGTTCCAGAATTTATGGCAAAAGAGGACAACATGGTGGATTTAGAGAAGCAGTTGACTGGCTGGCACTGGCGAATGATGTAAGCCAAAGTTATCACAAAGAGCAAAGTCGCAAAGATGTAGCCATCAGGTGGACACCTTCCCAGGTTATATGGCCTTCCTAGAATTCACATTGTAGGTACCCCAAAGCGTCCGACCTTGCACAGTATGGGTTCTCTCTAGCATTTGTTGTCCCAGAGGATGGTGAACAATTTGCAACCGTTGCGGAGTGTGGTTTGCACTTATTGCGCCAGGGTTACCATTAAATTCATTGGAAAACTTCTGAACTCAAATTTTCTAAAACTAGGGTGAAATCTTTTGATAACCATTCGCTATTTACAAACATTTCCTTGTTCGAAACGGTGGAATACATGTGCGCGCTGACACGGAAGCTGCCAATATACGCAACTTTTCCAAAGGATTTTGCTAAAGGAGATACTGCTTCTCTGCACGGTAAATGTGCAATGCAAATTAAATGGTGCGATCTACCGCCAGGTTGATGGAGTGACCAAAAGATCACCTTTGGGATCGTGATTGGCTCATATCTTTATGGTGAAATTAAACCATAGCCAACTCAGAAGACACATCGGCGAAAATGAAATGTACTTACGGTATGTCCATGACAACATTGTGATTTACGTATCCTAGAACCATGCAGAGCCGTTGCTGCGAGCCTTTAATGACGCACATTAGGACCTAAATTTCATCTGTGAGAACGAAAACGGAAACGATCGAATCTCCTCGAAGCAGGATTCATCAGCAACTCAGGCTGCTCACGTAGCAGGGAGGTAAAATGAAAGTGTACATGAAACGTACAGGACCCCAGCTTTCACAGCGCAGTGTCTTTAGAGCACAGCAGGAGTTTAATCCGATCTTTTACCTTCAAGGCGCACAGTATTTGCACTCCGAATACCGTCAACGAAGAGCTACAAAGAATCGGGGACGCCTTTGGGGTAAATTGTTACCCAGATAAGCTTATCAGTCAGTATCTGAAATAATGAGAGCAAAGCCACTTAACAGCATTGCTCCCAAGAAAGTGTTCTTCATGCATTTATCATTAAAGGGCGATACTGCAACTGATATATTATCTCTAAGTCTGCAAGATGCTATTGACAGCATTATGTCGCAGCCCGCTTCAAAATTGTTTACAACAACAAGCCATTCATTGCAAACCCATTGAAAAACAGCCTGCCCTCGTTAACTTATTCAATGCTTGTTTATCATTACTCGTGCTCCTAGGGTACACGATCCGTGGGTCGTACAACGAGACGCCTAACTCAGGGGATTCGCAAGAACATCCTGGCGTGGTTTTATCGAGGCGAAATGAGGTCCTTAAGCAGCCCAGTCACGGCGCACCTCCTTGAATGTGGCCATATTGCATCTGAGAATGACTTTAACACCATCTTATCACTACCTTAACTCTTCTCGTAAGAATTCTGAAAGCAGCTCTTGACTATTGTCGAGGCTTTATAAGTGCATCACTTCAAGCCGGAATTATGTGTACAAAAACGCTTCATACGACCTACACGACAACGATAGCGAACTAACATGGTTACTTAGGTAATCCTTTGTGACATTACCTATTTAATTTAGACTGCAGACGTTTGTCAATTAAGGTTCCTTCAGTGTACTATGCCTTCCATCTGTAGCCGCTTTAAGTCATCCATTTTGACCATGCGAAAACCTTAGA